GCCTTCAATGATCTTCAATGTTTAATGTTATCAAAAGACCTTACCAGGAATACTAAACTAAACCTACAATAAAAATGAAATGGAATGAAATCATGTTTTTAAATAATGCTAGACACGCTAACTAACTAACCAAAACTATCTTTTGACCACACAATGAGTCCAACTTAGGTAGTTTGATTACATTGATGGAGGTTGGTGGAAAACAAATTACCTAATCAAGAATATAGGCTAATAGGAGACTGACCATTTCAGATATAATAATATGTAATTGTGGCTTCTTAGCTCCCATATTTGTTATCGAATTACTATAGTTTGCTTCTCGATTGAACCAGTCTTATTAAATGAATCATATTGTAGCATCTGCAGTTCTGAGTACATTTTTCCTTTGGAATAGTTTTACCTGCGTCAATTCTTTGTCACGATTAAGGCGAGAACACGACTACACTACTAACGCCCATCATAATCGTCCCTTTACGACTCTGCGAACCGTTGAGAATGCCATTTTCCCATTAGGCATTAAGGTTAGCAGTACGGAAATCCCTGCATTTGTCGTGAACATGGCTGCAACATTGCAAGTATTTTCCTCAACTGTTACTCCAGCGTGGGGCGAGGAAATCAGTTAAATTAATTATATTCAACATATCGCTGATACTTATGTTTGCTATTTCAAAAATTCCAATTGAATCGCAAACATTGCACAAACTTTTTGTGACATTACAAATGCTGTTGTACATTTTTTTTGTTATACTTCATTTTAACACGTAACGCTTATTTTTTTGCCATTACATTATTTCTATTCCTGGCGTTTCCTAAACACTACAGAAGCTATCAGCACACTACAGAAATTTCCCGTCTGTGAAAAACCTTTTTCAGATGCTGCTATATCGCGAAAAATGTAGTTAACTTGTAGATTTCTATGATATGGAAACCTCTCTAGACCCGTAGCCATTAGAAAACTGATTCACAGATTTATGTGGTATGTATTTAAAAAAAAAATTGATAGCTTAGGCATCGGTCTATATTTCCCAAACTTGAGGCACTTTTTTTAGCCTTGCATTTTTTATATCATTTCATTATTTAATGCTGCAAAGATCGAAACATTGTAAATATTTTTTGCAATGCATAAATATGGAAACTTTATATAGACTCGTTACCAATACAGAAATTCATAAATTGTGTCACAGATTTAAGTTGTATGTATTTAAAAAAAAAAAAATTAAATCGTTCGACATTTTTGTACATTCCGCAAACTTTAGGCACATTTTCTAGCCTCACATTTACTTCTCTATGACTTAGAAACTATTTTGTATCATATTATTATTTCTCAGTGACGTTGCATAGGCCGAAACATTGTAAATATTACTAACATTGTAAATATAACTAACCAAAACCTCATATAGACTCGTTACCAATACAAAAATTTATAACCTGTTTCACACATTTATGAGATATTTATTTTTAAAAAAGTGAATCGTAGTCCTAGGCATATTTCTTGCAATGCCATGAATTTTCTATTTTATGAAAACCTTCTATAGACTCATAGTCATTACAAAAATTCTTAACTTATAAACCATTTAGTTGGAAGTATTTTAAAAACTGTTTTTAAAATTATAGTAGACATTCTTTGCACATTAGACACATTTATCTAGTATTGCATTTACTTCTCTGTTTGTCTCTTTTTTATATTATTTCATTGTTTCCCACTAATGTTGCAAAGCTCGATACATTGTAAATATTTTTTGCACTGACATAAATTACAAAAACTTTTCATCTATTTCTCGTATTTTCTGGCATTAATAAAGAACGTTTTCTAAATCACATTCCTGACGTGATGCATAAACTTTAAGAACCTTTTTGTTATATTCACTGTACTATAGAGTATAGACATTGCACAAACGTTGTTGGCATTACAAATATTTTTTTACATGGCTCACATTTTCCCCCGGTGCAATCCTCTCGGATTAGAAGTTGTACGACGATGCAGTTTTAAGATGGTTGCGCAAAAGAACGCGAACCTTGCCAGTGACGTTCGCTGAGGGGTTTTCCGTGTTGCCGTCGCGCCATTCAAATATTTATGAAACTGCGAACGCTAGGGCAAATTTTTTATTCAAATAGCTTCTCGCCCGATGAATTATGGAGTGCAGCTGAGTTTCTCATTGGAAAAAATTGGACTTATCGCGTCTCGCGATTTCTTTCGATTTTTGTCAACGTGACAAAGCTGCGAAAGGTTTAGATGGATACAGGGTGGTTTTGGATAATTTCTTTAGTCTTGAAGACATCGTTTGTAGTTCGAGTATGCTTAAATTATGGAAAATGTGGAAACTGGCTTGGCCAAGTTTTTTTTACATACGTTCCAGTGGCGTAACTAGTTTTCTTGTGAAAAAAATTGTGTCTCTTTTTTTTAAAAATTATATACGTCTTGTAATAATTTTTTGGGTATTTCAGGTACAGAGTAAAAGTTTGCAGAGGGTATTAGTATGCATAATTCAAAATTATAAGGATACAGGGTGGCTCGATTTTTGAATGGAATAATTTTTTTCTTAATTCGTTTTGCAATTATTTAACTTTTTTATTAATAGCAATACATACCCTCCATTAATATTAAAGGTTAAAAAGATATTGGCCACGGAATTTGAATGAGATGTACATCATTTCAAAAAGTATAGAATAATATTTTTTCTGAAAGATCTTTATAATACTTTGCCATTTATTTTAAATTTTTCAATATTTATCCTCCTTTCTGTTCGTCAATTTTTAAATTATCATTACCCACAGAAATAGGTTGGTAGAGGAGGATTCATTGGATGGTCCCCTAGATCATGTCATTTCACACAACTAGATTTCTTTTTATGGGGATATGTTAAAGATAGTGTTTATCGTGTATATATGGTAATTGTTTAGAAAACAAAATAAGATATTTTATTTCAGTATACTATTTCCACTGAATAGTAACATTTTAGCTAAAGCTTTTTAAAGTGAATCATTTTTAAGTTATTCTTTGCACCATACAGTGAATTTTTATGAATGTAATCAATTACTTTATCTGGAATCAAATACTTAACATATTCAGACCTTCTAAATGCTTTTCTTCAGTAACTACAATAGCAGAAGAGGACAATAACCCGAAAACTTTAAATAAATCCTTCTTTTACTGTGGTGAAAGTTAACCTAAAATATGACAACTATGAGAAAATGGATTAAGTGGATATGTTTGTTATAATAAATTTTGTAACTCATCTTTTTGTCTTTATGTTCTTGGAAACTTAACAAACAGCTTAATAAAAGCGTAGTTGATATTCAACATTTTTATTTGTAGCACCTTTTATTTAATGAAAAAGTAGCGTGGGGAAATACGCTTTAAAATTATCAAAACTTTCTTCAATATTTTGAATTTTATTGTAAATTAATCTGATTTTAATTATTCAAGAGAGCCTTTCTTTAATTGTTTTTTTAAAGTTTAAATGCGTGTACTTACATGCCGGGTTCGTATAGTAAGGCTGAAATATCTCGAAAACTGCCAAAGTTGGAACGTTAACATTCAATACCCATGTGTTTTTGAACGTGCAGGATTCAAAAATGCCCACAGCAATGTTGCCAGACTTACAGCTTTTACGTTAGACATCATAACTTTATTGTAACTGTGCCGTAAAGTCAACAACTATTTTTTTTTACCTTCACGCAACAAAACTTATAGAGGATGAAAACGAATGGTTTTAGACCGAAACGTATACTCCAATTTTTACTGAATAATCATTTCGCATCAGTTATTCTATCTCACCGCATTTTCTTTCTCGTGTTCCTACAATTATACATATTTAATGTTAATATTCCGACAGAAGTAAATGTCCCCACCACTTTGGCGTGGCGAGAAGTGGGGAGGAAATATTAAATTTGGCAGCGGAAGGAAGAAGACAACCGTCGGAGGGAAACGCTTTACAAATTACACAGCTACATAAATAAGAAATATAAATAAATATATAAATAAGAAATAGAAATAAAATTTGTGATAGTCCATTTTAAATTTTAGTATAAAATTTGATTTTACAAAATAATGCAATTTAAGGATATAAAAATTGTTTAAAACGCTTGTTAAGAATACATCGTAAAATTAATACGCATATACAGTGTGTCCGCGAATGGAGCGCACAAGAGGAAGAAATACTATAGGGCAACATGTCCTTTAATAAAGGTTAAAGGTACTTCTTCCTTGAAGTATTTTCTATTTTTCCTGCACATCTGCACAGTACGCTGGACTTTTCATAAACAATGTCGTATAATGAAAAATAAACGTCTATTTGTCCCTTTTGTGCACGTTGAAATATCTCACAGTAGAATAAATTTTTTTATGATAAGTTGCTTATTTTGTACAATTTTCGAAACCGAAAGAAAAGTCGAATTTTTACCAGACAGAGTCAGGCACAATTCACAATTTATTTGACTTTTGATCTATCGGAATATGTTTGTAATATAATTTCATTAATTTAACAAAGAATCTATTTCTTTTACCGGGAATAGCCTATAGTATAGGTCTATGCTGTGTAAATCTATGAACCTAATCATGTATAAGTGAGTTATTACTCACCTAAAATGATAATAAGAAACACGTAAAAACAAGGTGTAAGAATCTATCCAAAATATTGTAAACCATAAATACTTAATTAAAATTAATAAATCCGATTAAATCCCAAATAATTCCCTATAAATCCTAATAAAACCCCATAAATCTCGGTAAATCCGGCCAAATCCCAAATAATTCACTATAAATCCTAATAAATCTCCATAAATCTCAGTAAATACTATATAGTTTTATGTAACTTCTATATAAAGCTTGGAAAATGCAATAAAATGCAATACATTTTCTATTATTGGAAAAAAATGCTTATTTTGAGCAAAGCAGACACAAAAAGCGAAAAATGCATTTTTAACTTTTTCCGCTTCTTATTTATAAGTTTAATGTACTTAGTAGTGTAGTAAAATGGCACTTGCACTTGTAATTGCAGTCTGGATCGCGATCAGCCGTTCACGTTCCAGCTGGGTGTGGGACAGGTGATCAAAGGATGGGACCAGGGTCTGACCGACATGTGCGTCGGTGAGAAACGGAAGCTTATCATCCCTGCGTCGCTGGGGTACGGCGAGAAGGGCGCGGGGAACGTGATTCCGGGTGGTGCGACCCTGACGTTCGAGGTAAGTCAATAAATACATTTATTATTGTAACAAATGTAGAAATTTCGTGTTACATTCCTTAGATGGTACATTTCTCGCAACCTTTCCTGCTTCTACTCTTCAATTGTAAGGCATTAAGTGTTATTGCGGAGTCACTAATTTTTACCATCTCAACGCAGGTGGAGCTGATCAACATCGGCGACTCCGCCCCCACGACCAACGTGTTCAAAGAGATCGACGCCGACAAGGATAATCAGCTGAGCCGTGAAGAAGTAAGGGGTTATGTAACTGTCATCCCAAGTTTTCCGGTCACGGAACCGGGTTCTCGGTCTCTTTTCCTTTAACGTTCGCGTTCCAGGTGAGCGACTATTTGAAGAAGCAAATGGTGGCGGCGGAAGGCGATACTCCTAGCGAAGAAATGAAAAATATGCTCGCGGATCACGACAAACTGGTGGAGGAGATTTTCCAGCACGAAGACAAGGACAAGAATGGGTACATTTCGCACGCGGAGTTTTCCGGGCCCAAACACGACGAGCTCTAATACTAGCCGGGTGATATTCTTTAGTCCGCGGAACAAACAAAAAAAAAAGACGTACGTTAGGGCGGAATTGGGGGGGGGGGATATTTTTTTTTATTTTGAAGGTCAGTTTTGTTAATTTTCTACTCTTTTTGGCATTCCATCGGGTATACGTGAACGAGTACTTATTTATTTTGTTTTATAGAGATTTTATATCGTTTATATATTTTTAATGTTGTATAAGAGGACTTCGTTGCATGAAATAAATACGTTGTAATAGGTCGTGGTTTTAGTTGGCCTATTTCGAGTACCGGTGTTGGGGCCTTAAATATGGGCTCCACAAGCCCGATAGCCCCCCCTATATATATATATATATATATATATATATATATATATATATATATATATATATATATATATATATATATATATATATATATATATATATAATTAATTGAAAAAAAAAACTTCACTGTATTACTATTTACAAATATTCTGCGACTGAAACAGCAAGTTTCATTTCAGTTATAGCTCCGAAGAAACGAACGGAACGATTGGTGAAACGTCAGCAAGTTCTATTTATATATTTACATTTTTCTTTTCTTTTAATATTTTCAAATTAGCAGATAAAAAATAAAATTAATTTAGTCAATTTAATGATTACCTTGTTTTAAAATTTGGAAAATTTGTCATTCATTGATTAATATTTTTCTTTGCAGTTTTGCAATTGTTACCTTTTTAAGGGTATATAGTTAACGGGATATTTTGCTTTTTCTAAATATTAGTCCACAAAAAAATAACATCGTTATTTCTCCAGATGATTTAAAAAATAAGCGGCGCACGACCACGGTTTAATAACAATATTGGTATGACGTCATACTTTGTGGTTAGGTTGTGATTTTATATCTAAGCATTTTAGAAGTGCATTTACATGTATGTTTTGGTTAATGGTTGTGGTAATTCAAAGCCGCTCTTCAATTTCCATTTTGGATTTTACAATGTATTCCGAGGGCTGCATTGTAGTTATTTATTATGTGTAATAGGGTAAAAGATATAAACATTAATTTTCAATAAACGATAGTCCCTTTCGGAACGGCTAAAGGCTTGTGGCTCAATGTCCGTCCTACAATTATGTCTTCGATAGCTAAAAACCTCAACACTATGCGTTTTGTTTTTCTCCTTGAAAATTTAGAAAATATATATTTCTATATTGCCGTGATAAATAATTGTGATTAGAAACGGGGTCGCTTGATGTGTTACCAGTCCCGGAGTTTTTGCCATTCACGCCGGTTGCAGGCTAGATGGAAGCTGCAGGTTCAAAGTATATTGTTATAAAAAAAAAATGCCAATCTTATTAATTTAAACGTGGTTGTAAGCTGCTCAAATTGTCAAAGAAACCTAGAATTTTGTAGGTGCGGCTTAAACAATTGCTAGCACAAATTTCAGCAATCTGTTAAGTGGAACCAACTCATTCATTATTTTAATAATATTAATACACTTATTTGTAATTTAAACACTTTCCCATTTAAATATGGAGGGAACTATCAATAAAACAGAAGAACAATAGTTCTTATCTGAAAAAAATGGTTGAGTAGGAAACAGAACTTTCCTAATGTTTAAGCCTTTGCGTTGTCAAAGGATTTGAAGAAATGATTGAACATAAAATTGACAATTTCTAAATGATTGCGAATCCACCACAATCAAGAAACTCGATGATACAAATTAATAGGAAGTTACGTCTGCGTGCAATATTTTGTTCAGTGGGTGCGATCACCAAAATTGCTCGTAAATTTTCTCTGGAAGCGATGGAACCAAACCTTGCGCATCCGCCAAATTGCTTAAATGTTAAAAAAATAAGTTTTCACAGTTGCAAAAAAATATGATTGTGTTTTAAAAGGTCATGAACATGCTTAACAAAAGCTGTAGGCTTTTGCAAGATCCTTCGGAAAAAATAATAATATGCATAGTGTATCATTTAAATAAATCGAGATTGTATAATTTAATATTTGTTTATTTTGAACATTTAAATTGGGAATGCCAACAATTACCCCATAAATTTAATTAAATTAAATTTCCGCCAAACGCCAAATTTAAAACTTTTGCAAATTTGCAAATTGATAGTAAATAATTGTATTAACAAAAAGCAATAAAAATGCATTTAAATGCCGGAAATAAATGTAGCTATCGGAGTAGTTATTTGGTGTGCTAATTTCTAAATTTATTGACAAAAGTAAGATATAAATAAATAGTTATTTGAATTATTTAAGTCCTACAGCCGGCACTGACTCTCAACGCAATCGGAAAATAAAACCGCACGCTTTTATAACAAATTCAATTTATTCATACGGTTTAGTTAATAATAACGTAAACGTAAAAAGTAATCGGGAAAACTCCAAAAGAAAAAATTAACTAGAGTCCGCGACACGCGTAAAAGTTAGATCCAGGACTAGGGGACTCGACGGGGGAAAAAGGAAATAAAAATTACAGAGAGAGAGAGAGCCGTCCTCATCCCTTAAACGGTAGAAAATAAATAAAACGAATCGAGACAAACTTAAAGCTAACTTCATATAAATAAAACTTCGATGAGTGAGCGGCCATCGTTTTATCACATAACGACGTCGAGGATCACGGGGAAAGTTATAAAAGGAGAGTGTGCGAATCGGAAATTGCCGTTTCGCTTCTAGTTTCAGTTCCTACGCGAATGGGGGAGCTACAATCGCACAACAAATGTTAAACTTACCAATGAATATCTCTGGTATATGCATATGGAATATTCCTTACGTTTTCTCTGTAATGGTGCTAAATATAATGAGAGAATTTGTGTTTTCTTTTTTAGGAACTCGTATATGTACGTTACAAAACATTCTTATATTTGTGACATCACCATTTTATTCAGGTTCCAGATTAATATTGGAGAGTATAAACTGTGGCATAGTTCTGACATAACCAATGTGAGAAAGTTTTTATCCGTGGACAATGTCTGTGTAATGGTTTCGTGTACAATTTCAAACTTCACTTTTGATATTTTCTTAACTGTAATAGTTTGCAACATTTTTTTCCATAATGCACTTAAGGTAAGTAACTTTTTTTTGCTTTTATAACCCAATATGTTTAGTTTTGAAATAAAGCCTCTTAAGATAAACCCTCTTAAATATCGTCGATTCTTTCTCCTTTTTATTGTTATTACTAAGTATTAATTATTTTTTAACCGTTTAGAAGCCGACAGAAAAAAAATGAAGATGGCATTAAGCTTAGTTGACTCAGTTTTTAAGTTTTTTTAATAAATAAACAATGCCATCTTAGTTTTTAAAAAAAAAAACAATAAATGGAAATTTTCAGCAATGGAAACTTTACCTATAGATTAGGCGCTGCTATAACATTGGAAAATATTAAAAGTGTGATTTTGGTTAAACCAAGGATTTGGTTGGTATTTACTAACGCCTAGAAGGCTATGTCCAAAGTTTTTTTATTTAAAATGTTTTCTAATAGAAATATTTTAATTTGTCTATCGTTACATTTATTATAAAACGAGATGTGTTTTTCGTTTAATTTGGAAAGGTTATGTATTATTTTACTTCAAATTTAAGAATTTTATTATTATTATATTATAATTAATATTATTTTATATGAATCGTTAGAATGGAAAATTATCTTATTTGTACTATAGAGTCGCACACTCTCCTTTATTACTTTATCTATGTCGTGGGCGAACCCTCATCACTAATCACAGTCTCACGCGGGGCGCGGTGAGTGCGAGTGGGGGGAACTGGGCGACGATGATGACGATAATGTAATTTTTTATACATCGCGCGTATCATCTCCTAGTCGCTGACGATCAGTAACCCTTGATGTACGCCGACAGGTGTTTCTTTTCCTCTTCCGACAGTCCATTTTTTAAGGTCCTCCTCACTGCAAACGAAAGGCGTTTTAAAACGAACCGGACTCATTATAACGACGACATTTTCACACTCAAAAGTCGTAGTTTCTTTTGAACGAACAAATGTGCCAGTTTTAATTTTTTTACCGTTGCTGGATGACGTCATAGCACAGTAAACGACGCCCAAAGGAGGAACAAGTTGGGTCATAGGATACAACGCGATATAAATCATCTGCAGTGATAATAGGTCTACATCTACCAGATAATAAATGACGTCATCTCAGACATTTTGCGTTACGACTCTAGAGGCATTTATAGGCAAGTCGTCCAAAGGTCCAGCTTTCAAACCACGACCCCTAAGGTGAAAACGACAACGTCATTACCCACATAACATCGCAAATTTTAATACAGCTAGAATACTTTTCAGTATACACGCTTTAGAATGTGCGAAATATAGTGCAATAAACAAGAAAAGATCATTATTTAAAGTAATTTTGATAATATTCAAACTTATTAAAATTTTGTATTTTTTTTATGAATCGAGCAACAATCAGCTGGGTTAGGTAAATATCATCGCTTCTAGTTCATGGCAACTAACCGATCTCCTTGATCTATGGCATAAGGTCTAACCAAAAACCAATGTAGTGATATTAGTTTGTCTATGGTCCTAACCTCTTGTCGTTCTCGTTTCCAACTGTTTTCCGGAATGTTTCAGTTTTTGTGCATACTACAAACTGGTGATTTTTCAAGTAAGTAGATTAGAACTACTCCAAACACGACGTGAAAGTCTAAAACGCTTTGCATGTGTTCTCAGGATTCTATTGTTTCCTAACCTATAACGCACAGTCTAAGTACATTCTTTTTCTAACGCTGAACTGTTGTTGCAATTGTTATGTGGGTATGTGATATTATTACACTCAAGCCAAAATGCCGGGCGTTTCTCACCTTCAGAAACATCCCGCACATTTGGTAGATTGCGTTAGACGTTAATTCTTCTTAAGTCGTGTGTATTTGCGCTTAACGTAAGTTAAATTAAAATATTATTTGTACGCGAGGTTAAACAACCAATATTACCACTAAGTTAACTGTTATGTTTATAGCAAATTGTAATTAAAAGGATTGGCTTTATCGTTTACAGGAGAATGTCGCCATGAAATTACACATGTTACTTTTGGTTTCTGATAACCTTAGGCAAACGACAATGGGGGTCTTTTGTACCACGATTTAAATGTTATACCATAAAGTGCGACATCTTGAGAAACCATGATTTTTCTTTTATTTTAAGCTGCCGATTTAATTCAATGTCGAGATATTGTTATCAGCGTACAGACAGTAACGTTTATTCGGCTGGTTTCATATAAAAAACTGATACGACTCTTAAACCACTTTTTTTCAAAGCTTTGAGCAGTTTTCATACTGTCACTGTGAAAATAAAAAAAAACTAACCAACTAACCATTAATGCTAATAGAATTGCTATGGGCAAAATATAAAAAAATATGTGAGGCAAGGCACGATGACACTGGCAGCAGTATCTGTTTGGAAAGCAGCTCTCCAAAGTTACCAAAGAAAATTAAAAAAAAAAACTAAATATGGTTTACTATGGGCAAATTATACGGTATGATGTGTAATTTTTTCATATGTACCTACCTACTTAAACATTCGCATATCATTAAGGAACACCCCCATCTATCTAGTATGATGTGAGTATGGGCGTACTAGTTAAATTAATAAATGCGAAGTACAACTGATTCTGTCTCCCTTACTCCCAAGTACAGTGTGTCTCAATCTTGGTAATAATTTGTTTTTTATTTATTTAGGTATAATCTTATTGAATTGCACTAAGAAAAAACAACAAATTCATAACTAGGAATATCTATAGCTAATTAATTTTTTACTCTAAATAATTAAATTTAGTTCTGTTTCATTATCAAGAGTCGTCATTTAGATTAATTGTAATAGGATTTATGTTGTTTTGTGTAGAAATGTCCTTAATTTTTATATTGAAGCCCTTTGTTAAAAAAAAGTTAAATAAACTTTTTTCACATATATATTTTTTGCAAGATATCTTCACAAATTTACCATAGAGGATATCCTCTTATTGCCCATTCATATTGGACGTCAAACAAACTTTGCTTGGTCAAAATGCGACAGCCGGTACCAGTTTTTTTATGAAACTCGATTTTTTGGCATATTTTTTGTAAAAAGTTCGATTATCTAGTAGTGAAGAAAGTTGAAATCACGCCCCTAAAATATAATCATAGGCGTGCCTAATTTTTTTTGCATTAATTGGTAATATTTGTGAACAAATATATCCAAGTTAGTCTTTTATCTAACCCCGAATAAATGGTGTATCAAATCAATATTAGAGGACCGGGTTAGTCGACAACGTTGCAAACGTGCGGGTTAGTTAAAACCACGCGGTTACGGTGGCGGGAAACGGACAACGGGGGTGTGTTGGGACGTACCGTATACAGTTTAAGGCGAATCTCGACTGCCGTAGGGGTTGTTTTCGCGTGTTCTCGATCGTTTTACTAACAAACACATTGCCGTATCAATACACACAACGTTTCGAACGCGAAGGCAGTGCCGGGGGTTCGGGAGGCCCATTCCAACGTCCGGGACAAAGAGGATAAGATATAGGAGAAGCATTGTTAAAAAGAGTACACGAGTTTCAACGCCCTCTAGTGATTGTGTCCAGTCATGAAAACGGAAAACGCGCGGGACGTACGGTTCAATTCAATTTAAATTTTGAACGGTAAAATGTGAAAAAAAAATATTTATGTCTAAATAGTTGAAAATTATTGAAATTTATTAGAATAAGAAACATCTGACAATACATAGTAATAAAAAAATGATTTTTTTTATCATAACAATAATTATTGTAAAAATCAGCTATACGATAAAATTTATTCTATTTAAAAAAATAATATAAAACTTGGTGTAAATAAAGTTCTCTCATAATATTAAAAGTTTTCTTAAAAGACACCTATTAGCTAAAATAATAATTTTTTTCAAAAAACATATTCCTTGACTAATCACTGCTGGAACAGCTAAAAATCTATCATTGCACTTAGTAATATGAAAAAATATATTTTAATAAAAGAGATAGTAGATACGAAAATATGCTTTAACGTATATAATGAGTTTAACCATTAAATAATACATATAAAAATATGTTTGCTTACATAATTACAACAGTTCACTAAAATATATATATTTTACTCAATTTTTTCCTTAATTTCTTTTTTATTGGTCCTTACTTTGGTTTGATTTTTTTAATCCTCTATATAGTACAGTCTAGTTTAATCCTGGAGTGGTAGGAAAATCTTTCTGGTGTTCATTCAAAGTCCTTATAGTTGGTATATGTAGAAATTGATATTTTATTGACAATGCAATATCTTTTTACTGTAGCATTTAGCATATTTGTTCTTCACAGTTAAGCGTAATTGGGTTGCAAATAATATTAAAGCTTTTTTACCCAAATAGTTTGACGATGCACGTCTAGCTTCATTTTTTGTTTTACACCAAATTTCTTCTCCATCCTGTTAATTCGGCTTCGCAATCGACATATAGTTTTAGCCCCCTTGTATAGCCTTAAAGATTTAGGCGTTAACATTAGAATTTTTCTTACTTTAGAAGGTACTCAACAAATAAAGTGCTGTTGTCCGTTACAAGCTACTGTAGCATTTTCAGTGTGACACATTACTTTAAACCGCCATGGAATTCGTTCACGACCTTCCCCTCTATCTTATGCTCTTTGGTCCGGGAGTAATGTTAGCCAAATACCACCACCCGAGGGTTAATTATGAAATAAAAAGCCTTAAAATGAAAATACCTTTTGGTCTATTCATCCGCGGTCCTTGAAAAGGTCGAAAACTAGAAAAACAATTGTACGGCGTTAATTTTACCTTTTTTGTAGTCATTCGCGTCGATATAATGTTAATTTTGCGCTGTGAACAGTTCGTAAATGGAGGAGGACAATTAAATTTATCTCTTTAATGTCGCCACTTTTCCTTCGCCGCGGCACTGCCAAAATCATCGAAAAATATGTCGAGAGAGGTCGCTGCGGTCGTCGGAACGGAAGAAAATTTTGAAAGACAGATGTCGCCACGACGCTTCTGGACGCGCAGTGGTTTCTAGGCGGCAAAGAATGAAATTTAAAACGTTTTTAAAAAAAAATCGCAGAAAGAAAAAAAGAAAGTTTTTTGGTTTTGGTTAGTTACAGTTTTTTTTGCAACGAATAGGTCCGTTATTTTTCAACGTTTTCGTTAAATAAATATATATTTTTCAATTTTTGAAATAATAAATCATGAGAGTGTGGAAGTAATTTTTCGAAAAGTTTAGTTTTTATAAATCTGCACTTCAGATAAATGGTTTCGTCATGTTTGAGTTAATTTAAAATCGTGTATTATATAAATCATTCTAACCACTTACAAGTCGAGAATATCAAACTTTTTTTTGCGATGTTTTCAAATTTCAATTTCAATTTCTACCTTAATCCATGATTGGGGCAAATTTTAATGATGATTGCCTATTTATTCTATTTGTATTTATTTGTTCTATGTACTAAGGAGAACAATAATACAGTGAAAACTTCCTATAGCGAAACTCTGTATTACGAACAAAATTTGTTGTATTTGTATTTAAAAGAAAAAAAATTATTCAGCCTGAAGCGGCAGGCAGTTCAAACAGAGACATGGATTATGGAGTGGCGAAGCCCGTGATGTCGACAAAAAACTTCACTAACCATTGGCTGGAGAAGAAGAACCCAAAACTAGCAGAAAAGTACCCTCTTGACGACATTTTTAATACTGACGAAACTGGTATTTTATACAGATAAAAACAACTCTTAAATTTCGAAGCGAAAAGTGTGTGGGTGGAAAACTTTCTAAAAAACGTATAACAGCATTTGTAGCTGCCAATATGAGTGGGAGAGAAAAAAGAAAGCTAGTCGTGATTGGACAATCAACTAACCCACGATGTTTTAAGAACATCAAACAATTCTGCATGGGGGACATCGCAAATTTTTGAAGAGGAGATACGGAAATGGGATGCAGAATTAAAGGGGAGGAAAATATTACTTCTCTCAGATAACTGCCCTGCACATCCAATCCAAAACAGCAAGTGTATTACAGCCGATGGACCAGAGCGCAATAAAAAGTCTCAAGAGTCGATACAGGAAAAACATTTTGATGGAAATGATCGAGTGTGGAGACAAATTTTCCATTAATATATCAGATGCAGGCAACTTTGTAAAGCTTGGAAAGAGATGAGAGTAGAAACAATTTAACACTGCTATCGTCATGCAGGGCTTATTAACGAGACAGAATGCGAACAGGACTTGAAAGATGATCAGCGAGTGGATAAAACAGTTTCAAACAACAATTACGTTTACAAGTGAGGAGTTGCAAGATTTTAAGATGATAGATCAGGATTTACCTACAACAGCAGACTTGACAGAGGAAGACACATCACAACAAGCAAGAAAGGGTGAGCAAGAGCACCAAAAGGAAGAAGGAGATGATGAAGTTGATCTGGGACCACCTCCGACCATTCAACAAGCCCTATATTTAGTGAAGCTGCTAGAGAAATTTTTTATGTATCATGGTTAAGATGCCCCACTCGAAGAAATGGTGAAAATACAACCGAAAGTACGAGATGCGTATTGGCATACTAAAAAAATTCAAAAGAAAATGACCGATTATTTGAAACATTAAATGTAGTTCTTAAATATTTATATAAAAAAAAACAATTTCGCTATACAGAATTTCGACTGTATTTACAAAGAAATTTCTAATATTCCGATCCCTTCCATATGATATGTGTTGGGTTGATTTCTGACTCGTTGTCTTTGAGAGTTGTGATGGAACGCTTAATATCTCTAATGTCTAAATTAGAGAGTTGTTAACCCGATGATTTTGACAATGCATTGTCACCAGTTATCCGAGACGATGTTCATGCCCCTCCTTTAGCTCCGCCCCCATCAAACAATATATAAGCAGGCACAGTTTCAGCTAAGCTCAATCGCATAGGATGAATCCAGAAAGTTGGTAAATTATAACAATACTACTTTCAAGAATTTTAATAATAAACAAATGAAGAAATTCTTTGTAATTTGTAACCTATAAATTAGCTTTTGTATGTGCTCGGAACACAAATGAAGACGGTGTAGTTTGGCTGAAAATGTTGGTCAATTCGTCCAGATTTCGTGGGGTCCAATTGTTACTGTTATGTTATGTATTATTATACAAAAGCATCTCAGAAAGGGAAGAGTTTGCAGGCTTTTATGTAAAAGTGCCTTTGCCAAATCGTGAATAACGTGATTTTTTTTTTTTGCTATTTCAAGCATATTTTAAAACTTGGCAGCGTTGTCAACAAAAAAAGATAAAATTCTGTGAAAACCGCACATTTTTCGTTCTCGAGTCGTAAGCAGTTAAAATGTGTCAGTTTATACACGGGCACCCTGCATTACAAACGACAATTGAAATAAAGATTCATAAATTAAATTCATATTCAATCGTCTTCGGCATATAAAACTTAAATATGGTTGTTCTCAAATATTTATTGGTTTGAATGCAGTAATTTAAAGATTGACAAATTACGAGAGTAATGAACCAGAACCATGTAATATAACGTGCATATATATTCAAAGGTGTATTGTCTCCTAGGTGCCCGGTAATTTTAAATAGACTTACAAGGATTTTACCTTTCATAATTCGGTCAACCAAATGGTTTTTAAGATTATTAAGATAGATGTTGTAATCATTAATTCATGACTCGTTTTCGGATTCTGGGAATATTAAAAATTAATACCATGAAGCTTATTTCGTCATTTGAAGAGTGAATTACACAAAAGGACCTAGGTGCCAATCAATTCGAAGTGCCACAATATTCCACATGACGATCACACATGTTACTTTGTATTCTACACTAATGTAAACAAATGATTTTTGGTCGGTGCTGCTTTTTTTGCATTTTAAACCACAACAATTTACAAAAGCAGTTCTATATACCTTCATTGACACGCATGAGATGTCACTTGTCAGTCACCGGTTAGCCTGCGTAAACGTGGGAATAGAAATGCTGTCTGACATTACTTTACATAAATTTCAAAATGCAGGCAAAATAAGCCCTTTACAGTCAGAGGTAGTCTAAAAACTGATCATCTAGGAATATCTCAAGTTCTGATGGTTGGATTAGATGGCAATTCCTCTCAAGTAGCTTCTTTTGTGCAGAGTAAGGATTTCTAAACAAGATACGAGTATTGACTACTTAAAAACTTAAATGCAAAATTGTCCGAGTCAAATTTCGGATATGCTACCATACCTAATGCCAAATAAAAATCAAAATTGCAATTACCAGCTTATCCAGAAGATAATGCTGACGCGACACTGATTCTATTATTATTTTGCCTCATATCGTAAACTGGAAAGTGTTTTTAAAGTTCTTAAATTCATTTTAAGAGTGCAATAATGTCTAAGCCGTTTCGTCCTCAAGTTCTGAAAATAATAAAGTATTCCCAAACGTTTTAATTTTTATCATTATACCTTACAAATTATGTCGTAAGTATAGTAAACACGTTTTTGCCGAAACAAATTTGTTTTAATTTATATCGTGCAAGACATTGTTCCTACCTAACTCACTTTTACACGTTTCTCAGTCTGCATTTGTAAGTTTCCTTTCCGACTGACGCCTATTTGTATCCACTGCGCGATTTTGCAACAAAAATATTTTATTCACACCAACATTTATGGTCATATCAAATTCTTCCGTAAGCGACATTGACGATATTAAAAAAAAAAACCTCTATTGGACACTTACGCGACTTCCTGTCGGCATGTCGAGTCCTCTTGCGCTCCCGAGGGGCGGTCCTCGGCCCTTTGGTGGCGGTTTTCACCAAACTCTCGAGGATTTCGTCGTCGCCGTCGGTCAGGTTGCCGTTGGCGGTGATTGCGGGGCTGGCGGCGCCGAACGATCGGCCGCTGCCGAGGCCGTCGCGACGCCGGTGGCGCCACGGTAGCGTCCCCTGCAAGCTTTCCACGTCGGAAATATCGCTGCCGAGAAGCTGGCGCAGCTCCGCGTCCGCCCTGTCCTCTTTCGATCGGAATTTGCCCACCTGATGATTTTTTTATTTCAAAATTAATTGATAATATTAATAGTTAATAATTTATTTATTTATGAACGGGCGAACCGCCCAATATAAAATAAGATTCACATAAAGAAAATAGTAAACAACAAAATGAAATAAAATAAAATAAAACAAAAAGAAATCGGAATGAAATCGATAGATGAAGACCTTATCCCAATTTAGCAAACAAACGATAAAAGTAATCAATTGATGTAATTAATGATTATTATGAAAAATTATATTAATATTAATCTGTTATTTAACATTAAATGCTTTTAAAAATTGTAGTTCCCCTAGGACAATAGCAATTTAATTGATTTATTAATTTAATTTTATAAATAATAACGAATCACTTAGTATTAATTGGTTTACAAACATAACATACATTTGAATAAAACCAATTGATTGATGAAATGAGGCAAGATGAAAAATAAATTGATAATAAATTTAATTAAATTGATTATAAATATTGGTTTACAAATAAAAATTAATATTAATATTAACCTGTTGATTTGTTATTTACCGTTAATTGATTTAGTAAGACTAGTTCCGATAGAACGATAGCAATTGATTGACAAATTTAAATTTATAAATATTGTTCATTTATTATTCGAACGGTTAATTAATTAATGTTAATTGGTTGTACAACATCAGATGCAATCGAATACAACCAATAGATCGATGAAATATTAAATTAAATTTAATTAATTTGTTAATCTGTTTAATAATTTCCAATAAATATTAATTATAGCAATTAATTAATAAATAAAATAGATGCTTTACCATAATTATTTTAATAAGTATTATTGATTCATGGCTTGACTGATTGCAGTATGAATATGAAATATGTCATTAAATATTTAATTTTAATATAATGGGCTTAATGGGTTAATGGGTTAGTTTATTTAGTTATTGATTGAAGAAGTGAAACATTTAATTAGATGTATTAATCTGAAATTATTGATTATTTCATTTAAATCTCATGGTAATTGGAAATTGATTAATTGTTATAGTGTAGAATTGGTAAAACTTAACGGCCTCACTCACGTCCGTGATCATTTTGCCCCGCGTTTTGTTTCTCTCCCGATGATTCGCTTTCTTCTCGAGCTGCTGCAACACCCTCTCCCTGGTGGTTCGATATTCGAGGGCAAACTCCGATACCACCCTGCAAAATTCGTTGGGCTTCGTGTCGCTTACTTGGTGGAAGGGCACGCCCAGCCACAGCAGGAACTTGTGAAACCTGAAACGTTCCCTTCAATCGACGAGACACGGTCACCCCCCGTCTGCGACGTACCTGTTGGTGATGCGCCGATGCACGATGCCGAGCAAGATGATCCTCTCCGCGCAGTCGGCCAGGAAGTCGGACATCTTGACCTTCATCATCGTCGAGCCGTCGTGTTTCGCGATGAGCTTCAGATGGTCCCACGAGGCTTTGCAATCCGCCTCCAGTCTTTGCACGTTCAACGCGAGTTCGTCGAAGTCGACCTTGGAGGCGCGCGTCACCGGCCCGATCTGCGGGAATTGGAAACTTTGAATGGGATTCAACTCTTGAAGCAAAAATCATTTCGCCTTCAACCACCATAAAAACTTGATAGAAAGAAGTATATCGAGGGACGACACCTCATATTAATGCATTTATTTCGGATTTTTTTTTAATCGGACCAGTCGTTTCGGAATACAAAAATTTGAAGAAAAAAAATATATCGAGTGACACCTCATTTGAAAGGTTTCTTTTGATGGCTTTATTTTGCGGTTTGATTTTTTCAAGCAGTTCACTCGTTTTCTAGGAAAATAGAAAAAAGTGTATACAAAACCTTAAAGGTAAGTTTTAACGGCCTTATTTCGGCGTTTGTTTTTTTTTTTAAATAGGCCCATTTGTTTTCGAGGAAAATGGAAAAATCATTCTTATTTCGATATACAAAAACTTGAAGGAACGAGGTATGTATAGCTAATGACACCTCATTCATTTTGGAGAAAAATGGAAAAATTTTTACTTCGACATACAAAAAATTGAAGGAAATAGGTATATCGAGTAACACCTCAGCTTTATTTCAGCTTTTGATTTTTTTAAATAGGCCCATTTGTTTTTGAGAAAAATGGAAAAACCTTATATCGACATTTTTTTCCGGTTTTTCAACAAACCTCGGAATAAAGGTCGGTAGCGTCCGGAAACTTCTCCATCACTATATGGCAGAGGTGGTGCAGAAGCGAGTGCTTGTGAACGGTGTCTTTGACTTCCGGCACCTTCGCCAGATACTCGATCTGGAACCCCTTGACCTCGTTGCCGTTTAGGAAGTTGCCGATAGAGAGCAACGTGCTGAGTATTGCCCGAAACGTTTTGTTTACTTTCAACACCTCGAAACCCTGCTTCAGGTCCATCAGCGGTTCGGCGATCTCCCGTTCCGAGTTCTCGAAGTCTAGCTTGAACGCCCACAGCTTCAGGCGAGCAGGCAGCTCCGAAATCGACGCCAACGTCAATAAGAACTGCTCGGCGCTACCCAACGGCAAATCTGGATTGCCGGCTTGTGCCTCTTGTATTTTGGTTCGCTCCTCCTCTGTCGGTAACATCGTCAGCAATTTCTCGATTCCCTCTCGGTTCATTATGGTCGAGTCCATCTTCAAGATGGCGGTTTTGATGGACCGCGGCGGCGGCAACTTTGTCATGCCGATGTTGATCGCGTTGGAGCGTTTCGGGTCCAGGACGATGATCTCCTTGTTTTTGTTCAGCTCCTGCTGTTTCTGCGAGGGAAAATTGGGTTATTACGCGATAGATGATTGTTGGAATGGTTACGGTTGGAAGAGGCGGTCATGCTCTGTAACATGCTGGACGATGGCCTCGACGAGAACGTTTTAGTAGTACCAGGTGGTCACTTAGCAAGTATTAAGATGGAATTTTTGTAAAGATGGTGAAAAAACCTACAACTACTTTGGGCCAAGAGAAAATGCTGAAAGTTTCTAGAATGGCAGCCAGGGGGCGCAATGGCATTCTTGAATTTTACATCTAGATAGTTGAAATGGATACTGTTGCAATGGAATTTTAATGGCGCTCTTCTAGTATGAATTACGTTAAAATTGAACTACAGTAAGACGCACGCACAATACATTTGACATTTATGTTTTTTTATCTTCTTCTTCTTATCTGTTTTGTAGGTTCCTCTGTATCAGTTCCTGGGAAGTGCACTGCCATCTCTTGGTGGTCTTCCGGCTGCTCTTTTCCCTATTCTCTTCCATTCTTTTCACGCGAGCGTACCAATATCTTTTTCTTTGTCTCCTCCATCTTATGATGTCTTGTTCCCTAATGTCAGTGTTCCTAATTCGGTCTCCTTGTTTTCCCATAGTTGTCGTTTTGTTGGGTTCTTCTCTCTTTTCTATTCCGTATGTCATGATTGACCTGATGTAGGTCTTATAGATCCTAACTTTGGTATCCTTTCGCATGTATTCGTTCGACCATATAATTTGCTTTAAGCAGTCCAACATGGAAGTCGTTTTGTTGATCTGGCTTCTCAGGTTCTTCACAGACCCAGATATTTAAATGTTGAGACTTGCAGGTTAGGGGAAAGTTCCATAATTTGGACCGGCAACTTATCATTAGTGCTGCAGATTTTAAGGTAAGGATTCATTAAGATTTTATATAGTACTTTAGTAGGTGACTTATTTCTCAACATTTTCCTATCCTAATCCCAAACAATCATGCTTTCCTTCCGATGCGAATGCCATTGTATTTTCAGCTGGTTAGCCTAAATTGGACCGTATCGGGCGGTTCAATTTAGGAAACCTTTTTAATTGGATACTTCCAATTTAGGATTCATTTTTAAAAGTTTACAACCTCGTCGCGAGCATCCAGTTTTATTGATGGACACAGCACCCACAGCAAAAACCTCGAGGTACTAGAAATTGCACGTGCCAATGGAATAAAGCTATCCAACTACCTAGCCATACAACTCGTTTAACCTCTCGATGTGGAATTTGTCAGATCTTTTCAAAACAACTAACAACTACAGTCAGTGTATCAAAAAGTGGCTTACAAGTAACGTGGGTAGCACTGTAAGCATGTTTCAGGTGAGCGCCTTGATAGGAGAAGCCTATTAATTAACAGCAACTGTAACAAACGCTTTTCGTTTAACGAAAACGATTTTATATCTTCAACTATTCTCAACTCATCGGTTGAAGCTGAAGGGAGGAATATGGATTCATCTAATGGAGACGATATTCCCAAATTAGGCTCCTTTACCCTACATCTTACGGGCTCTTTGGCAAAGGACATGCTCTTCGTTTTTGCTATAGACATGACCATGTTCATCGCTTGGCAGACCTGGCAGAATGTGTGTGAAGAATTTTCTTTTAGTTGTTCGATAATGAATATGGCGTAGATGTGTTTCGTCGGAAGCCTTGTTGTTCTTCCCTGTTTGTCATTTGTTTTTCAAGTCTTTTATTCAAAACTCCAGTAAAGAGTTTCATGCTGGTGTTCAACAGCGTTATGCCCCTGTAGTTGTCTGGTAGTGCGTCCCCTGTCCTTGAACATTTTTAAATGTTTTCTGTTCCGGGAATTTTTCTGTTTTTCAATTTTTTTCCCATTACCTCTTGTTCATTCGGTGATTATTTGTCTCGTAGTTTTCGATGCTTTGATTCTGCGGTTGATTCTGTTTCTGTTTTTACCAATAGGTTCTTCTTCGGCTGCTTCTATGATACATGATTTGATTCTGTTCCAACACCTGTCCACATCACACCCCAGCGTATTAAGTTCTTTCAGGCTTCTCGGAGGTTTTTTGACGCTGTGGGGTTTTTCCACGGACATTTTACACAGTAGTAGGTTGTGATCTGTGCCTATGTTAACTGAAGTGAGTGCTTTTACATCTATTACTTGTGATGGTGCGATTGTTCTGTTACTTATTACTTAATCAATCATCTGGTATTACTAAATGTATATTTATGTTGCTCTTTATGAGGGAAATGCGTGTTGTTGATTCGTAACTCGTTTCTCGATCAGGAGTCTATCGGGAGTTCTCCATTTTTTATTTTAAAACAAATAATAAATTTTCTGGGTTTTGCATCTAATGTAGTTTATGTTCTGTTAGCAGTTGTTGAAACACCTCGCTTTGCATTTGAACTCCTGCCAATATTTCGATCATTTTCAACAAATTGGTCTATAATTTCGGTTGTACTGGTCAAATTCCATTTTAGAAATACCATCGAAAGTACTTTTTGCGCTACTATCAATATTTTTGTTTTTTTCTTCATTAGAAAGATTGGCTGCCGTTTCTTGAACCTTATCTTCGACATCTTCCACATTTATCTCGTCTCATCTGTTTTATCAAATATCTGTTTTGTGGATTGCAACATTATCACCTAGGGCATAAATATTGAAGTTGAAGAGTTTTTTTCAACGAATTCAAGTTTGACAAAGTGCAACTCTGAAGTTATTGACACATATTTTCGCAAAAAAAAAAACGCAATTGCGACCCCCGGTGGCCGTTGTAGATACCCAAAAACAATTCTAGCACATTCCCGTGATGAGTAGGAGTAAAGATCGATCGGCTAGCAAGCTCCCCACTTAATAAACTAAAACGCCTGGTGAGGTGGCACGTGGTTATACGTAAAATACATTCTGTCTGGTACTAGCTAACTACTTGCTAGCTACGTGTGCGACGAGGAGACGCGGCATTAGATTTTGACATAGAAGAATAGCATGCAAACGCGTGTCGATCCGACAACTAATACATATTGGACAGTGTGGTACTTAGGGACGTGGTTATGTACCGTGCGTTCAATATATCTTGATAACATTATAATTGGCTGTAACTTTTTTGTTTTTAGAGATATCGAGGCAAACAAAAAATAAAAATGTTGGGTTAGTGGCTAAGTTTTTTTCCAAGTGACGTATAAAATAAAACGCTATCAAATTTCTGCCATATAAACCTACATAATAGAATATATACAGAATATCTTATTCCGATTACAATGATGTAACACACTTTATATTTTAGTCCACTTGTTTTTGACAAATCGGCAATAGAAATACCTGCCTCTTCATATACTCTAGCAATAGAGGAAACTGGATGTGCTTCATAGAATCTTAATATGTTTTCTTCATTTAAAACATTATGATTCCGGCATACCTTTTTAGTATTTAATACGTCACCGTTTTCTGCAAATTTCTTTGGCACCCTTGGAAATATTTGTGTGAAGGAGCTCGGCGTTCTGGATAGTCTAAGAAAGTATACTTGAAGCATATCACTCCTTTCACGGATACCAAATTGGCGAAAAACCATTCTAACAATAATGACTTGGACAATAATTCAACCACCAAAATTGTTTACTAATATGTCATATTTTTATTTGTCAGTCAGGGCACTCTATAAAAATTTCCTATTTATCAAAAACGACTGGACTAAAATATAATGTGTGTTATATCATTGTAATCGGAATGAGATATTTTATTAAATACGTAAATAATATACAGAGTGTTCCATTTAAAAAAATATGATGTAGGCTCATGTCAGAAAATTAATAGTGATTTGTTTTATACGTCACTTGGAAAAAACTTAGCTACTAACCCTCAATTTTGTTTTTTTTGTTTACCTCCATATCGCTAAAAACAAAAAAGTTACAGCAAATTAAAATGTTATCAAGATAAATTGAACGCACGGTAAAGTTTATACGCAAACGAAATCAGGTATAGTGTATTCATAGATACTCGTTCTTCGAATATCGACTATCGTTGATTATTAATAATGATAATTAAAAAATGGATCTGCGAATACACAACCGTGAGGCTCGCGCGATGCGAAGAGGCGGGTTCGTGGCAAAAAAAAACATCAAAATGCAAAAAAAGGGTAACTACCACCACTACCATCACCACTACCGCCACCACCGGCGAAAAAATGAACTACACTCACCTCCTGCGGCCACCGAAAAATGTCGGGTGTCGCCCAGGATCACACCAAGGGGGACAAAGAAAAACGAAATTAAATATATATGCACAGCGAAAAAGAAAATCGCAAACAGTGTATGAAAAAAAAAAGTACCGTCACCGGGAGTAAACGCGACCCTCCACGATACGTTTTTAAATCAGTGACTTTGAATCAGGAACAATGACGTCACGAACCGAGGCTGACGCGATCAAACCTTGAGGTTACGGCGCGTCGCTTTAAGGCGGCCAAGTTAAGAAGTTAACAAAACTAAAATAAACAGCCATATATCCAGAAATTAATAAACACCCGCCACTATGACTTCATTGACCATATTTAATAATGTAATGAACACTGTAAATTTTGTTGGTTAGTTTGGCGTTTCAGGACGACATCCGAAGCAGTCACTGATATAAAATCGCTTTGTCGGTCCGTAGGGATGTTTCAAGTGCGACAAAGTTATTCCGAAATTGAAAGGAACGGAAGCGAAATAGAAAAATCTACGGTCACGACGTAACGCAAAAATATGACAATACCATATCTTTGTTACCTATGGACTGATAATACATAGCGAACAGGCCAAATAGAGAATCAAAGCAAATGTTATTTCCTTATAAGTACTATATCCTTCGTGTGAACATGTAACACTTTTTGACTTTTAAAATAAATACAAAATGTTATTTTAACATGTAATTTGCTGCGCGTATAAGAAAAAAAACGCATTAATTAAAAAAAGTTGCATCTATGTTGTTAACGACATTTTCGTACATAAAATTTTACAAGTCGCATTTTTATTGTAAACTGTGGTTTTTTTCTTCTCTGACAGGTGAACAATTTGTTCACTCGAAGGATACTCAAATGTGCAAGTTCGTAAAAGTATGCTGCTGCGTCGAAGAGATCGCTTAAAAAAATCAACGCAACTGGTAATGTAGTAGTTTATGGGTGTTCCGCCACAGCGCTTTGCAGAGAGAAATACGAAACAAGGCTTCATATAAAACTCTAAGAGTCGCTACTTGGTTATTAACGACGCAACAGACTCTATATTTCATTGTAATTGAACAACAGACATTTATAAGGACCGAGCATGGCTCGGTTGGTAAGGCGTTAGACCTGCCAACTCGATTTGTCGGAGGTTTTGGATTCGATTCCCACCGGGGAGCATTGGGTGTATTTGTGTTTGTCCGAACGACTGGCAACAATTGCCTAATTTTCTCGTCGATATATGGAAAAAACCTGGGCAGCCGTGTTAGTAAAGACGCGAACTCATTTTATTAAGAATAAAAACAAACTTTTATAATAGAATATCCAATTTACAAGATGGCACAAAAGTAACTCTTCAAGGCTAAAAACTATTTCAAATTTTATTGGTTTTTACGATGACATCCAGGATTTCATAGAACAAAACCAAAAAGAGGTCGTAGAAAAAAAGAACGTCAAAAAAAAATTGCAACAAAAACCCTCTACCTAAACTGAAAAGCATTGTTGATATTTACCCATAAAGATTTCTTCCTCCAGATTAAGATATGGACGGCAATAATCCTGATAGTTTCTTCAGACCTTTAAATAGCAACTAATTAAATCAATTAATTAAAACCGAAAAGATGTTCTGGTTAGTTTCGACGTAGTACATTCTTTACTGAAGATCGGAGTTCCTGAGACTCTCAACGTCATTTCATATGTATTAAAAACCCGAGATTCTGTAACTATATTAATTGAAAAATGCTTGGCCTTCACACAAAACTAACCAAAATTATTTTGGTGGTACTTTTGTTATTTGAATTCATTGTCGTCATTCATTCATTTGTCACATCACCGGCCTAAAAAAATCATCGCTTATCAAGTTTCTTGTAGAGCCGTAAAACTGCCTCAATCATTTTAATAATTTTTACATTAGAGATATTAAGCGTTCACTTCACCACAACATTCCAAAGATATTAAATTGACTTTATTAAATACAAAATATATGAAAAACAAAATGAAAAAGGAGAAATATCTGGAATTAAAGATAAAACTCACCCTGTATATTGTTTATTCAATTTCTATAAATAGCAGAATAATATACTATTTTAACATATTTTGGTTGTGATAATGTGTTATTTTCATATTCTGTCATTTTTTAATAATAAAATCATGATTCCTCTTTGCCGCTATATTCTTAAATCTACTCTTCTCCAATTTAAGCATTGATAAGTGCGTTAACAAAAATAAATAAATATATAAAATAATATATTGTATTGTTATTGTGAGAATTAAATGATTCGCTAAATGCAAGTGGCAATTTTGTCAAATATGTAATCAGCTAATTTTTCTGTGATTTTAGTTCGTATAGTTCAAAGAAATTACATAAGAAATATGATCTTTAAATTTAAAGTATTTAAACACACTTAAAGTATTTAATATTTCTAATAGGTCTGAAATAATATGACTGATTGTCGACATATTCACTAAAATTTACCAACTTTTAGAAACAAACTCCAGAACTTAAAAAAAGACTCTTTGGAATACGCCTTGCTCTTCATAAAATTTAGGCAAGGCAATAAACCTATTAAGAGGATGGTTCTTTTACCCTGTTTTGGTAACTTTGTGCCGTCATTAAAGAGTTTTCCGGTAAACATATCAAAAGTTCTTAATAAGTATAACGTCAACACCAAATTGTCCAAAAATCTCTCAACATCTTGGATCCAAAGACAAAATTCCGTTAGGGATACTGGGACAGGACGAAAAATATTAAGTAGGACATCAAATCTCTATCGATAAAACTTTCACCAAAGAAAAATCCGAGAATCCATAGAATCTCAACGATTCAGGTCCGTTTACATAACATTACATCCGAGACAATGTTGATGCCCCTCCTTTTGCTCCGCCCCCCTCAAACGATATATAAGCAGGTACACAGAAGGACGCGAGTCAGTATCAGTTACACTCTAAAGAAGCCAGCAGGGTGATTGGCGAAACGTCTGCAGGCTTCATATATAAAACTTTCTTAGATTTAAGAGCCGCTACTTGGTTATTGACAACGCAACTGACTATATTTTATTGAAACCCGAATGTTGCTGAAAACTCATACGGAATTTTTAGATAATTTCAACAACAGACTTTCGCGATAGAAAATCCAATTTCTAAGATGCTACAATATAATAGATAAATGATAGATGGGAAAGTTACTATTCAAGGTTAAAAACTCTTTCAAATTTTATTTAAACATGACATGAATCCAGAGAATTCGTAAATAGTATTGCAGCAGCCCGAGGTAGTTTCTTTGAAAGTTATTCAAATTGTTGATATTTGTTCCCGTGGATAATAAGTATTGTCTTGTAATGTTTAAATTGTCATCGTAACAAACGTACACAGTAAAGCTTTCAGCGGAATTAAAAAAAGTACAGAGTGGTTTTGAGCTTTTGTATGAAACATTTTCCGCGTATTTCTCAGCGTTGCTCCAGCAATACACCGCGGCGGATCACCCTGTATATAGAATCGGCGATCCCGTCTCCTCCTCACCTTTGATATCAGGTCCTTGGCACGAGATTCGAACAGATGCTCGAGCTTCTGCGTATCGACGGAGACGGCGCTAAGTTCGTCCCATATGTACCCAGTTTTCAGCTTCGCGTGGCTGATCGGATCGTCTCGCACCTCTTTCCAAAACAGTTTCACCGTCTTCTTGCTCTTCTTTACCGGTATCTTCGTTTCGGAGGGGCGGTTCCGCGGCAAGAGACCGTCGCCGAGCGCCGGCGGTGGTGGGGCGCGGCCCGCAGGTGGCGGCGGCGGCGGCGCCGCGTTGCCGAATCCCTGCAGGGGCGGCGGGGGCGGCGGGACGCCGTTCGCGACCGCCGCCGGCGCAAGCACGTCCGTTTCGTCGTCCGTGACTTCAACGAAACAATAAATCAATTGAGAATTGAGCGGTTGGTGCGGGCGGTCTATATTTCGACCACGGTCCTAGGATTCGGTCCGAAAACGTTCCGCAAAGTGCTTTTTCGACGTTTCGACTATTAATTAACGCCAAAATTAAATCAAACTGAACATCGGCATTGTTTATTCGTTACTATTTCTTCATTTAAAATAAAATTATATAAATTTCTGATTTTTCCTTTTCCCAGTCTATTTTAATATGGTTAAAATCACCTTCTGTGACGTGTTCTACGTTACGGAAAGCACGGCGCGTGGCGAATTTGAAAGTGTCTTTCGGGTCGGTCAAACCGCATGGAAAAAACGGGAGGTCAGAAAAACTAACAATAAACCACCCGCACCAACAAAAAAAATTAATCTAATGAACCAAGTCTAGCGGGTTACTAGTTCGCAATATGAAATGGTTCATGTCTATTTTGTTTTCGGGGAGGAACTGGTGGTGGCCATTGTGAAAATCGAGAAATGATGTAGCCTGCAACTCCTGATATGATGGTGGCTTCATGGGAGAAATGATTACTACAGGGCACTTCCTGTTCGAAGTAAACGAAAAATTACTTTGAGTTTTTGAAAGTATTGGACATGAAATAATGCAGGTGGAAAGCCGCTGGGCCACTCTATGCCATAAAAATGTTAAAGAAAGAGGCAATTAGTATAAAAAAATGAGGTTGTTCAAATTCAAATCTAAAAATCCTTCATTTCTCACTGTAAGTATATTTTAAGAAATAAATCCAAATAATCTCAAATATTCCGTTCCAACAAATTATAAATTACGTTTTGTAAGCAAAGCAAAAACACGCAAAAACGTCTTGCATGTGTCATTATTACTTTTATGTGTATGGTTTTATGCTTGGCCAGCAAAAACGAACTTAGTTAGTCGATATTAAGTAAAATCCAGTGGCGCACTCGTTACTTTGAAATATTGCTCGTTTGCGTTTTTTTTAGAGCTCATACATTTTCCCAGATATGAAAAATGATAAAATTTTGGTAAAATGTCATATTTCTTTCCTATTCCCTTGAAAAATACATTTTTTTGCTGTTGCTGTTGCTGCCCGTAGGAGGTTCTTTTCATGGAATTGAACGCATTAATTCAATATGGCGCCCACAAGAAAAACAATACTTGACTTCGGCCGTTCGCAACATAGCAGGCCTAGACGTCATTTTTAGCATCGCCTTTGAATATTTCAGCTCCTGTAATAACGAAAATGTCGTCCCAGTGGCGTAGTTCGTAGTAGTGCAGTTCATAGTTCATAGGAAGTTCTCTCTAGGAAAAATCAACTCACCCAGGTCGGTAAAGTCCATGTCGCACAAATTCAAAGGCCTGTTCAACGTGGACACCAACTCCTCCCACCTGAGCTCGTTCTCCGACTTTTTCGCTTCGACTTTGGGCACGTTCTCACCGGTGGGACTCTTCAGCACGTCCGCCTTCGACTTGGACTTGGCCAGACCCTCTTTGGCCTTAGATATCAGGCCGGACATATCTCCGAACCGATTCACTTTGTTCTCTTCCGAGGGACTGTGCATTATACTCTGATTGGCCAGCTTCTGCGTGATGTCTGGAAACGAGAGGGAGTTGAGGGAACGTGGAGACTTCCTAAGACTTCCATACCCTTTACGGTGTTCTCCTTCTTCAACTGAATCATCATATTTCGTTCGTTTTCGTTCGCCACGTCCGATTCCTCCATATTCATTATCCACGAGCTCTCCTCCGAGTCCAGCTTGTTGACGGCGTTCAGGTACGGCGTCAGGTCTTTCCTGCTGGAGTTCCTGCTTCTCTGCTGCAATCCGTTGTTGTAATTACCTAAAACAAGACGCGCGATAGTTGACTCGAGGTCTCTACCTATTTGGTCCGAAGAGAAAAAGTCCGAGGTTTTCCCTCATTTTATTTCAAGATGTTTTGGGGTGAAGAGTCCAGTCTGAACTAAGCAAAGGGTTGTAGTATACTGCGAGCCCGCTGGGTAAGACTTATTCTAATTAGCTTGGCAGAAAAGACCGATTATATTATCAATTAATCATTCATGGACGTCTTCGTAAATGTCAACACCACCCAACTGTTTTCAGGTATATTTGAGGAAACGGAAGTATAACTCCAAAAAAATTGTTTATAAAAAATAAATAAATAATAAACAGAAAACTGTACCTTTCAGTGATTCAGTTTGTAGTTTAAACATTTTTTTTTCAACACATTTGTAGTGACGTAAAGAAGAAGCGATGGCAACATAATAACTAGACCAATGGATTATGAAGTTTGATCTTAAGTATTTTCGACTATTTGTTTTTTTTTTTAGTTTTCCAAATGCAAGCTCTGCGCTGCTATACCAGATTTATAGAAAAAACTTTATTAAAAAAATATACAAAAAAAAATTATAAAAATAAATAAAAAATAAACAGAAAATTGTAGCTTTCAGTGATTGGTTTGTAGTTTAAACTTTTTTTTTCTGTGCATTGGTACTGAGGGTGCGGTAAAAACGTAGATATCAAATGAGTGTACAAAGGGATTATAAATATGGGTTAGAGTTGTAGTCGACATTTTCTTTTAGTTTTCCAAATGCAAATGGTTTTTGACCAAAGAATGCAAAGTATATATATATATATATATATATATATATATATATATATATATATATATATATATATATATATATATATATATATATATATATATATATATATATATATATATATATATATATATATATATATATATATATATATCAGTGGAATTTTTTTTTATATCGATCGTGTGGTAGTGTAGTTTTGCTTTGTTAAACGCCCTCGCCTCACTTACCGTTTACACTATTTTCATTGTCTTCCTTGGACGATCCTTTGAGCAACGTGGCGCTTTCCTGCTGCTCCCGCATAAAACTCCTCTGCCTTTCGGCTCGCTCGCGTCGCCTTTTCAGCGCAGGCGTCACACCGACATCGTTAGCTAAGCGAAAGCGTTGCGGTTAAGCGACAAAGACGAAAGGGTCACTATCTCCTCCTTCTGCTCACCTTTATTGCCATCCTTGTAGCTCCCGTTCAATTGGGAATCGTTGACTCCCGAAGACTGCGAGCTGGACGATTCGTCGTACCGTTCCGTGTTACTATCCAGGATCAAACGGTTGTTGTTTCTCAGGCCGCCGTAAGATGGCGTCGTCCCGGTCGAATGACGTCTGCTTTTCCTACGCTCGTTCGTTTCCATCGTCGATTTTCTACTCCGCAGCGTTTTGCGTATGGTCTCGTCCAGGTGCCTCGGAGTGCCGACCCCTTTGTCGTCACCGTCCTCGTATTGGAGGACGGCCTCGTAGATTTGGAACTGCTGCAGCAAGTCCAGGTCCGTGCCAGGCTTCGACATGTACCTTTGGATGATCGCCTCCATGCCCTGCTCTTCCAACGCGTCCACCTGATCGTAGTACGTGTCCTGGTCAGGTACGCCGCTCAGTACCTGGAAGGAAATTTATTTTATCACGTTTTTTGACATTTTCACTGTTGGAAGCCATAGTTGTTAGTTAACTGTGAGTTAATAGTAGCATTTGAACGATCAAGATGAGAGTAAAAAAAACCCTGATAACATCAAAGACATTTTTTAAAGAACGTATTAAATACAATTTGCAAAACTTCTAGCTCCCGTACCAGCGTATATATTGTTTGAAGAGGGAGGAGTTAAAAGAGGGGCTTGAACATTGTCGCGTATGACTGTTTCCCATATTGGTGACAGGTAAAGACCTGAGTCGCCGTTAAGATTGTTTGGTTGAAGAATAGATTTCATAATAAATTTTAATATCAATGTATTCTTTGCCGCATATGCATGGTATTACTGTAAACTAGTGGCATCTCAAACGGAATTTTGTCTTTGACGGATCAAAGAGGTTGAAAGATTTTTCGAACCTATATTTCTTTAGAACTTTTGATATGTGGTCAGTGATTCGTTGAATGTCAGGAAGAATAGCAGTGGCAAGTGTGGAGTTGATTTCGGACTTATTATCTTTGGAATGTTGTGGTGAAATATATTTTGCGGAAATGTGGAAATTATCAGAGAGAAGAGCAGATGTAAGGTGTTTTAATTCTGGGTTTGCATTGTGTGCGTAGGTTTTCTGCAAATGGAATAACCCAATGTGAGATCAGATATTAGACCTTTTCAAGGATTCTTAGACTTAATAGCCGTTCAAATCGAATTTTATTAGATAGACTCGACATTTAAAATGACTTCCTCTTTTGGGATAATACAAGGCTGGAACCTTTCTCAGGAACTGTGTTTTCCATCTCATTTGGTAGTTCCAGGTATAGCAGTAGAATGTGAGCCAATTTCAGTTAAGCTCTGAAGAAGCCAACAGGATGATTGGCGAAGTTTGTTTGAAAAATTAATTTTTAGGATATATTTCTATTCCTTTTCTATTTCTTTCTCCCGAATATTAATCAAGATCAGCGGATGTCTAACACATTTAGTTGGTAATATCGGTCGTTAATATGAGAAAATTTACAATTAAAGAAATAGAAATAGAAGCAACGGAAATATATTTTTTTCGAGTAAAGTGGCAGGTAAAAGCTGGGTTTTTTCTATTCTGACGCTTCCCTTGGTTTTATGACTGGCTATGTCATGGCAAATTTTTTTGATTTGTTATTAATTTCAACTTTTACTCTTTTATTTTTTCTTTTTGTCTATCAATATCAGTCGTCCCTTTTCAGGATTAAGCTTCAAACTGTGGTCTTGCGCAAATATGTTTAACTTTTGCAGTTTTTATTCGATGTTCTGCTTGTTAACGGGCAAATGAAATTACCTTTCATATCTACGATGTGGCAAGAACCGAACCCTAGGGCACACCGTTTTTTGACGATTTTAAATCGGATTCTTCAGTTCACCTTTGCCTTGCATTTGGAAGAACCACCACTCTTTTCCATCGACCTCTTACCTTATTAATCAACGTGGTGGCGTATATCAAAAGCTCGGTATCTGCCGAATCGAAATCCTTCAGCAGTTTCATCACGTTGTGGTAGGGGAGCAACCCTTGCGAGTAGTCGACGGCGCGGATCGCCTTCACTAGCAGGTCGCAGTTCGATTCGGTGTACTCGACGAACACCAACAGCAGCTTGAGGGCGGTCTTCACCACCAGCCTGAATTTCGACGAGATCAAACTGTACAGCCACTGGATCGTCTGATTGTGTTCCATAACGCCTACAATTTAAAAAGCTTTGCCATATTGGGATTGCGAAAGAAGATTGGGGTAGGCAGGGCAAGATCTGGAAACACCACCGGATGAGACTCTAGCTCATTTATGGTCCGTGCCTAGATCTTGAGTATTCCAAAAATTCAGAATAGCTGCAAATATGATCTTGTGTCAGAAAAAATAAAACAATTGGACTGGTTAAAAATGGAAAAGGGTAAGGGCAAAAGGGCAAATTTTACTCATTAGCTTGTTATCACCCTTCCCCTTCAAAGCCAAGTTTCAGTTACGCCATCAAAACCATTCACATATTAATTCAAGAAATGATAATGTGTTTTCAATTCCTATTAAGGAGAAGCTATGTTTACTTCTTTCTCTCTAGCGTCTAGTTTTATAAAATATTATTTTGGAAAAATGTAATTAATAAAAGACGTTTTATTATTATTATTATTGGTATTATTATTGTTATTATTTATATTGCTATTATTATTAAAACGCCCAGAGGAAGAACGTAATTCGTTTTTCGCAAAATATGGGGAAACATCAATTACAAGATCGAAATTTGTCAATTGTTCTTTATATCGACAAAAAAGGTTCAATATTTATAATAATAACGTTATATTCATTAGAAAACGCTTGCAGAGATGCAAGACAAACGCACGTGACTTTTGATATTTGCACCCGTTCGCTGAATATAAGTCGAGCGTAAGCCAAAACCGAACCAACTATTACAGTAACGGCGAAAACTGTTATCAACGCAATTCAAAACGGAAATTATCTGGTTTAAAAGGTAAACAACCCGTTCTCCCAACGTCGCCGCATCGAATCGCATAGTTTTGCAAAATACTGACCGTTCATGCCGTCTACGTAGAGCATCACCTGTCCCAAAGCTCTGAGTATGTAGTTTTGGTAATTCTGATCCGCCTCCGAGCCGACCTTGATCAGGCAGGACAAGCCGTCGTTCTGGACGAATTCGTGGACTAGGTCCTTGTCCTCCTGGAAGATTTGCTTCAGCGAGAAGAGCGCCCTCCTCAGCTCCCTTCCTTCTGATGTCAGCAGTTTCTCTGCAAAAAAAAAAGGAGAACCGTTCAAAGGACCCGCAACGCGAACCAACCAAAGCATGTTATCAATTTAATCTTTTGACGTTTTAACCGTCACAACTTTTTAAATTTTTCACAAACAAAACTCGCCAAAAGCTAACTGAGTAAACCTAACCTCAAAATGTCAAACTTCCCTATAAAAACGTTAGTCGCTAGATGGCTACTTTAAGAAAGTCCCGAAATATAAAAGGCAGCCCTCGTACAACTGTTAGGGAGACAGTTTCAGTGTTTTGTGTTTAGATGCGATAGCTGCATTGTAGTTCATTATATCATCATCATTATTCCTTTCTATTTCTCTAATATAGGTCAAAAATTAGCTTCCGAAATAGACAAATCTGGAAAAGAGAATATAAAAAAAAATAAAATTCAGGGAAACTTATTAAAGAAAAATGACGAATATTGTCTTGGAATTGACATTTGGCATTATTTAAGGGTGGAAATAAACGTCAACTAACAATAGACGGATTTCATTAAGGTCGGCTGTAAGCAAAATATTTAAAAAGGCTTCCAACAGAACAAATCTACGGGAAGACGATATTGCTAAGGTAACATTGAAAAAAAAAGTTATGGAAATAAGAGGCACTGGATTTAATTTAGTTGCAAGGTACAAAAAGTGTCGAACTGGGGGAGACTGGAGCGTCGTCGTAACGTATTTTTAAAAATTTAAAAACCGCATTTGCAGAGTATAGGGAAAAAATCATTATTCAAAAATTTTTTGAAAATGTAAAGGGTGCGTCGGTAATTTGAAAAAAAAAACTGAAAACTGGGTTCCCTTTATAACGATAATTGAAAATAACTAGAAGTCTATGACTCAGTTGTCAGTCGTTTTTACATGGTCATATAGCCCATATAAACAGTATTTAAGGTTTTTAAATATTGTACAGGGTGTTCAAGATATTGAGTGCTATATTAAGAAATATAACATGTGACCTAAATTGGCAGCTATCCATTTCAATTTCATTAGGGAGAGAGGTAACCGTTGAAACCGGGGGTCATCAAATGTCGCGAACAATTTTTGAAAAATTTTTGAAAATTTTTTTTGCGTAATTTTGAGTCCCAGGAAAAAATTATTTTCTCGAAAACCGTACAGCCGATTTGTAAAATTCTTTAGCCCGGAGACGGGGAAGATCCGGAACCATAACTTTTATTTTAAGCATTTTTTCGAAAATATACAGGGTTTTTCAATTATAGACAAAAATAACCTGAAGATTGTTCTTTTCCGGAATAAATGATTAGCCGTAAATCAAAATTCGTAAAAAATATGGCTAATCGGCTCAAACAGTGTTATAGGCCGCATCAAGAGCTACAATTTTTGTCTCTGCGTCCCGAGATATTTGAAAAAGTAGCTATATCTCGCATTCAATCTATACACGATGACGTCATTTAATATTAAGGCGTTGGTTTCAGAAAAAAATTTTCTCGAAAACGATTACTTTATTGGAAAAATTCTTGAACCAGAGATCCAGGGCTCTAACCCAAGTTTATCAATTATGTACAGGGTGTGTCGGTAATGGGCAAAAAAATCCAAAAGATCCAGAAAATTGCCTTTTTCGTGGGTAAATTATTGGTCGCAAATGAAAAACTATAAAACATGGCACAATTTAGTTTAAAGAGTATCCTAAACCGTATTCAGAGAGTTTCAGGTTTGTCTATTATCAAGGGTGCGCGAAATATTTGGAAAAATATCACTGGATAGCGTTATTACTTGTACAACTTTGTATATTTACCAAACTTTGTCGTGACCTTGAAATTATACATTGTACAGGGTGTATGCGCAATACAATTACATCGATTTTACGAAAGTTCCATAGTGGCCCGCAGGGGCACGATAGAAAAACAACAAAAACAAAACAAAACACAAAATACAAAGCTACTTCGCGTTACGCGCCCAGTGACGATTTTTCGAAACAAATCTTGTTCATTACGGAATCGATTGTCCGTTTCTTCTGGAACAATTACCTATTCAAAACCCTATTTGCAACATGTGCGTTAACTTCAAAAATTATCATCGCACTGTGATTTGTATTATGATGGTCTCCAGGAGACTTCGATTGGTCGTACTGAAAAGCCTTATCCCTTTGTTTCTTCTTCGTTCTTTTTTATAGTTATAAAATTACTATTATAACTTATGAAACTGATGAGATACTGTAGGAGTGATGGACGGGACTTGAAGACGAAGAAGTCGGAGAAGAAAAAGAAGACGTGGAGGCTGAAGAAGAAGAATATGAAGATGATGATGATAAAGAAGAAGAAGAAGAAGAAGAATGTTTTTGCACCGGTTTTCGGGTATCTCAAATTCAATAGACAAATAAATTTCATCAAATTGTGTCGCGAAATAAGCGCAACCGCCAAACGAGTCTAGCTAAATTAGAAATCTCGATCTCATGTTAATTACAATTAATGGAATATTAATCGGGCCCGTTATTTCCTTGTCCCAAATCACGTTTCTCGCGAATATCGAGAAAATACCCCGGCATGCGGGTACGACGTTGATTTTTTCTACGACGCCGACTCCTTTCACCGAGAGCTATATAGCGCGCTATCGGGACAGACGTCCATGCAAATGACATTTAAGGCGCGCGCCTAACAACAATAATTATTGTAATATTTTGTAATTTATCTACCATAAACGTGCAAAGAAAACCGCCAGCGATAGCGGCGACTCGTTCGATAAAGTCGCTTGGTTTGAATCGACTGGTTCAACTATATGAGACGCAAGAAACTATTTAGTAACACCGGTCAATACGATTTTTGAGTTCTTTGAGTCCTACATGTTAAATTTCAGTTTATTTTATACTAAAAACAATTTTTTTTTTTAATAAAATTTTGAAATGTTTTATTTTTTCTGCAAAAATCGCTATGATTTACATTTTTTTTGGTTTACTTTATTTTTTTTTTAAATACGAGTGTCTTTTTTATTCAAAATTTGTAATAAAGAATATCACATAAATGTAAAATATCAAGAAATAAGTGATTTACATTTTTTTTGGTTTACTTTATTTTTTTTTTTAAATACGAGTGTCTTTTTTATTCAAAATTTGTAATAAAGAATATCACATAAATGTAAAATATCAAGAAATAAGTGTCTAAAAATGAATGTTTTTCGTATTTCATTTATGTTCGTATGGGCTGCCTCCCATCATATTCTCATTGTAAAAAAAAAAACCTTCTCCTAGTTCTTTGGAGTAGGTTGAACTGAGGTTTCATGGTCATTTTTCGGTATATACAGCAACATGTAGTTTGTAAATATTACATTTGATAAAGACACGGTGTTGTCGAAACAATTGTCATGTGAAAATATATAATTTCGTGAAAATCTGGACTTTTAGTTCTTATTTATTTTGTAAAATTTTCTAAAATGCTTTAAAAAAAAGTTTGAGGTATATTTAAGGCAATTTGGTCTAAATAGGCAAAAGAATATTAGTATAATCGTGGTAAATTTGTCTTTTATCGGCAAACTACAAAAACAAAGTTCATGAAAAAATTTTAGTACTTAATTACTCTACCATTTCCAGACACCCTGTATATCTCCCATATTTTTATTAACTCAATCATAGGTTCGAAAAAAGGTCTCTTAATTAATTTCTTAGGATGATACTATTATAATTTGCTTCCTCCAAGTGTGTTGGTTGTTATAAGTTTGCTTGTAATGCTCATTTTAAAATTTTTTTTAAGTTAACCTTATATACATAAGTTGTAGTCCATCCCTGTAGTGGGCTTTGTGAATAAATTATCTATCTATCTGGCACACGCCGTGATTTCTTTTAATCTTGGATGGATTAGTAAGGGTTTATTTCAAGAAATTGCAAAAAAAGCAAATAAATCCAACTCTAGATAAACTAAGGAAAGCTCAAAACTTTCAAGCTGATAACTTACCAATAATCGTGTGCACCCTCACCGATAGCTGAGTGCGCAGTACTATGGAATTCTTCTTGCTGAAACAAAAAACGGAATATTAGAAGCTGCGATCAAAATTTCCCGCTCGGAAACACCGACGCTCGGTCAGGCGACGAACCTCGCGCTTGTAAACTGCGGTTTTAGTTTTCGTTTTGTGCTTTTCGCACATTTTTTCCTCCCAGTAGGGCGACGCATGTTTTATTTTTTCTGCTAGATCAAAGAAATAGTTATCCATTTTTTGATTATTTCTACTTGTCAGTTTAAAATTTATTTATTAGCATGTTAAAACACAAAGCGCAATACATAAAACATAAGCGATAAGCTGACTAGATATAATTATTGATATCTTGGAAAAAGATAAATTTCTCCAAGCTGTAAAAGGTATGCTTTATTAAAAATTCTTTGACCAAGTTATTGCTTGGTTATTGGACAACAATTGGATGCAGTAATAATCGCACTAAGAGGGAAGAAATCAGATCTGAGGTTGTCCCTATTCCGTGTTTCGTAGGGGTGAACTTTTTTCACATGTAAAAAATCTTGATTCTCGTAAACTAAAACTAGACACTTAAGTGTAAAAGCGCGTGGCATTGTAAGGATTTTCAGCATCCTCTGTGTATTTGAAGTTTGTGATTATCCAAATTGCCCTACAATTACCCAGTTTATCAGACCAAGAGCCAATTAGATCATGATATGCTGTCAATAATTGTTGGAATCTACAGTACCTTTTAGGCTACTTATTAAGAAACTACTTTTTTGAGATTTTTTAGCCCCTTGGTCTATGTGGCGACACCAATTTAGTTTAGGGCCAAGAATATTGACCAATATTTACGTCGTTCATTGAGAGAAGATTAAAGAGACACTTTTCCCTTAGTTAAGGGTTAATATATTTTTTGTAAACCAGTCCTTAGCTCTTGTCAATTCGGAGTTGGTTTAGTTTAGTTTTTTAGTTTAATATTACTTTTTTGCATAATAGTAGGAGAAGGAAATAATTCTCCTTAACATTTATAATAATCGATTAATAGTTAGTGTTAGTTTACGTTTATTATTGTGAAAGGTTCTTCTTTTGGTGCTTCATTTTAGGTGAGACAAACAATAAGTGGTTGATGACGGCGGCGGCATCTTCTTCTAATATTCTTCTAACAATTCATCTTTATTATCGAAACATGTCGATTTAAGGCCTCACAAATATTTCAAAATTGTTTGAAAATAAAATTGTTTCCGCTTTTCTTCTTCCGTATTTTAAGCTATTACGCAATAGTATTTCTAGCACGGGTGACTTTCACCGGAAAGTCGATCCCGTACAAGAAAAACCGCGTGTATATCAAAGGCACTTGTTCGCCGAGCAGTAGTGGGTGTCCACACAACCTCAAGAATAGAGAGTGCGGTATTTATTACCGGTAGCGCAAATGGTAAAAATCAGCGGACTCGTACATTCTCCAGCTGCATAATAAGATAATGCCTTTGGGTCACGTCCAACTAATAATTGTGGTGTAACAATTAAGCCGGTGCTTTTATCCCGAATAAAGGCCATTCAATACGGATAGTTTCAACCGTTTTTTCTTGTATGACCTCTATTTTGGCCGATGTTGAGAAACTGATATTCTCTTTCTAACACTCCATAAGCCTATAAAAATCTTTCTTTTTGCTTTTCTTAACTGTTATTTGAAAATCTCTATGAAACACGATAAGTGGGCGCTATCGACTTCTCCAAAAAGCTTTTTTTTAATTTTTGAAAATTTTGTTTGGGCTTTTTTACCTTCAGAAAAAAACTATTCACCTGATCGACAAAATTATTTACTCGGGAGACGTGGAAGATTCCGTACTATACCATTTATTTAAATCATTTTTTCGACTATATACAGGGTTTTTTAATTATGAACAAAAATCTAAAAGACCCTGAAAATTGTGCTTTTCCCGGGTAAAATATTAGCCGTAATATAAGATTCGTAAAAAATATGGCCAATTGGTTTAGATAGCAGCAAGAGCTACAATTTTCGTATTTACGGACGCCTGTCTTTCATAAAAAAGGTATTTTTTTCGGAAAAATTTAGTCTATTGGTAAAATTCATATCTAGCAAACGTGGGAAATCCCGGCGATATAACCTCCGCTTCAAACATTCTTTGAGTTGTGTAAAGGGTGTATCTAAAAGATCCTGAAAATTTCAGTTTTCGTGGGTAAATTATTTTCCGTAAGTAAAAAAAACTGTTAGAGATGGTACAATTTGAACGATATCGCCGACAATCGCTATTACTGATACAAATTTTAATATTTACCATAGTTTGCCGTAACTTTGCAGTTAGACGAGACATGAAAAACACTCTATACAGGGTGCACGCATAACAGAATTACATCGGTTTTGGGAAAGCAATCTGGGTTACTAATAATTTCAGGACAAATTTATTTACTGTTTCTTAAGAGTAGAATTACAAAGTCAGTTCAATTAACAAACTAGACAGAGGCGAAACAAAAACAAAAAAATGGGGGAAAGTACTCTTTTCCAATGGAACACCTTGTTGGAAAAAACAAACTAGACAGATGGTAGAACAATACTAAAGGCAAATCGTTGATGGGGCACGGAGGCCCACCTCAAAAGTTAACCAAAAATTTTGTTGTCGTTATTTCTTCTAATAATAATATATTTCGGTTATTTGTACATTTTTAGCTCTTTAAAACAAAGTGTGAGTTAAAAAATCGTCACTATCGCTACTGTAGTGACTTAGTTCCGAATTACGTTTATGGTCCTATCAGTAAATATTGGTGCAGTGTTATTTCTTCTTATATGCACTTTCAACTCAGACCAAATCATCTCAATCGGATTAAATATACAATGATATGTGTATATAAGATTTTGTGGTCTTTTCTAAAATGTTCAATTTTTAATAATTCCAGAAGCTGTTTTTTCGTGTAGCCTCTCTCTTTAAAATATAAATCATTTTCTTGCAGAAATTCTTTTAATTTCTTCTTTATTTGAAGAAGTATTTGGAATATTTCTAATTTTTGCTGAATGATACGAGGCATTATAAAAACACAATAACAGTATTTGGCGATAGTTTTGACAACAGTAATCCACACTTGAATCTTTGACGTTTCTGACAGACAAAAACAAGGCAACATCCAGCCAAACGTCTAAATACACTATTGGCCTCTTTTTTTTCCTCGAAATTTTTTAATTGCATTTAAATAATCCAACCTCCATTGCAAAATTCTTTGAGATTCCATTAGCACATTCTTCAAAAAAAGTAGTTTTTAGTAATGTTTAACTCCGTCAGTACTTTTTTATGCACTTCTTCTACATACACTATTCCTAATTAGATCTGCGTGTTGCTCTTTAAAAACCGGCGAAGTACCAGCATCTTCTCTCACTTTCTTCTGGACTATCCCATTTGCAACAATTTTTCCTACTGTTGACTTCGGAACTTTGGTCATGTCACTTAATTTTATTGCTGCTCCTACTTCCCCTTCTGATTTTTTTATAAAATTCTAAACATTCGAAACAACTTGTTTAGCATCCGAGGACAAATGGATCCGTTTTTATATTCGCTGAGATAAATCGTCTTCTAAATTGTCATTTGGTTCGACTACCAGCTCCACTTCGTCTTCAACTCTGAGTTCCATGCCTTCTTCTAACAGGGGAATATGTGCTTCATTCCATAGTCTTTCTATTCTTTTGCAAATCGAAGAACTATTTGACAGGCACACAAAGCAAAAATGGTAACGTTTTTATATTATCATAGAGCTACTAGCTAGCCTTAATCTCTATTGCGTAGGGTTTTTTTCTATTTCCGTGCGGCAATTAATCATTCAATCAATAATTCCCGAGCTAACTCCGATACCGAAGAACGGACTCACCCTGTAAGAGTCAAAAGCGAATAATATAAAAATTTCATTAAATACAAACAACTTTTGCTTTTACAATTTCCTTATAATTATTACAAGTTTTGAGACAAGTATATGGGTCACCTTGTATGGGACACCCTGTAGGTGGGGCGTCAAGTTTGATGTTGGCGACTGAGTTTGCTATAAAAAGAAACTATCGTAGAATTCTATATTAGAAATGCCAATAATGAAGCGGAAATTTCAAACGTCAAAGTCCGCGAACAATCGCAAAAGACCGACGACACGAGCATATTAATGCACATATCGCGAATACTTTCATCGTTTTTTAATGGTTTTCCCATAACGATTTCCTATTGCAATAATTCGGTCCTTATAGTAGGTATGCCGCGCGGACGCTTAATTGACGGTGAGAAAATCGTCGTCGACGCTGAACATGTACCGTTGCGGTTCGAATTAAAATTCACGCCATGCGGCGTTCAAACGATTCGAGATGCAACAATAGCACAGGACTAGGTAAAGTGTTCCTACGCACCGTGACTATAAAATGGTTTATTGCTTCGACGTTTTTTAAAGTACCTTAACCGCAGACCTTCACAGGACCATGGTAAAACCCATCCCAATAGTATTACGTAGGTCTTGCCTGAGACGGACCGTAGCGAATATATCTTACAGGTTAGTTTGAAAATAATCATTTTTGTCTTGTGTGCCTGTCGATTAACAACATTCTTCTTCTTGTATTTATGTGTCTTGTACATAGTTCTTCGATTTGTAAAAAAAAACAGTCTTTTTTAAGACCACAGATTATATTCGCGGTAGGTTAAAGTAACTAACCAAAACTAAGATAGAAGTAGGTCATAAAAATACAGATAAATATTGATTAGATTCTGACAATTAAACATTTTTTGAAGGTTCCTGTTTTTTAACACTTAAAAATGTGGAGACCATGGTATGAAGCAGATGTTCTCCTGTTAGAAGGAGATATGGAACTCAAAATTTGAAAACGAAGTGGAGATGGTAGTCGAACCTAATGACAATTTAGAAGACGAACTACTTCAGCAAATATAAAAACGGATCCAAATTGTTTTGAATGTTTACAATTTTATAAGAAATTCAAAAGGGGAAGTAGGAGCAGCAATAAAAACAAATGACATCACCAAAGTTCGTCAACTGTAGGAAAAATTATTGCAAATGGTGTAGTCA